GTCGGGTGGAACTTCCAACTCCGACAAGTCGGGCCGCGCGAGCGGCGAGCCACCGAGCGCCCCAACCCTTCCGAGGCTACTCGATCTGCTTAGCCGCGCCCGCGGGCGCGTGCTCAGCTGCGGCCCCATCGGGGGCTTATCCTGCGAGGCCCGGGTGAAACTGAACGCAGGAGAGGCCCCCTGCGCATCGGTGTGCCCCCCCACCCAAGCCCCCCCCCATTTCCCCCGGGCTCGCTGGCTGGCCTGGCCTCCTCGGCTTGCCGCCGTGCAAGGGCCTTGACAGAGCTGTATTGCCCTGGGCGCAGCCCTGTTCTGATTGGCAGACAGCCGATCGCAACTGCGGCTGGGGGGCGGCGCGGGGGGGCTGCTGGCTGATCGGCAGATCCTCAAAATGCGTTCGCGCCTCGAGAGCTGCCCATCCTCTTCTGACGCGCTCCGCCTTTGCGAGGCTGCGGCCGAAAAGTTCCCACCGCGCCGCCTCGAAACTGCGGGTGGGATGCGGCGCTGAACGCGGCCTCGGCGGCCGCGCGGACTTCCGCGCAAGCTGCTGCGCTCTGCCGACGACTTGGGGGCTGAGGCAGGTTTGACATGAAGTGGATTTATCCATGTGGCCTCTGCTTCTTCGATGGTGGCGGCCTGTGTTTCTTTCGCGGGCCGAAGCATCATTGGCTGCGTCTCATATGACGTGCCGGGCTTGCTCCTGGAACTCCTCGGCGCAACCGATGGGCGGGCGGCGCGGAAACTCGCGCAGCTTTTGCGCGTGCCGCGACGAGGAGGAACGCCGAGGCGCATTGAGAACCAGCTGTGCAGGGCGGCGCGGGCTGACCTCCACATCTTCAATTCCTCTGGCCACAGCTCTCTGTGGCAAGAGCCTGCTGGCAATGAGGAGCCGGCCGCCCTCTCAGAGGGCCCGGCAGCGCCTCGCAATGGCTTTGCGATCTCTCCGCTGGCGCCGTCCACGCAGACAGACTCTTTAAATCCCTGGGGGGTGGATTGCCGGCCCGCGTTCAGAATGGGGGGGGGGGGGGGCGCCTTGCGCTTTTGAGGTGCTTCCCCGTGCTATGCAATATTTGCCCGCTCTTGTCGCTGAGGCCCTCCGAGTCGTGCAGATGCATTGTGCCGGCCTTGATCCCACCTTGGACTTTACGTGCCAGGCGGCGTAAACTGGCGCCCGCCTCGGTCGGCGCAGGTGGTGCCCCATGCGCGGTGCCGAGCCCTTTAACGCGCGGGCGTGGCAGTCGTCGCGCCTCCCGTGATTCCAGCCAAGCCGCGGCCGTCGGCGTCGTGACCACGTGCCAGTCCAGCATCCACCTGGTTGCCCTTCCAGGCGATTTTCCTCGATCTCGGCTCATTCGCTTACTGCTAGAAATGCGGTAAGTTCTGTTATTGCGCGTGGGCGAGATCACTGTTCTCCCAAACAGTTGGTTACAGCAACAGCGCGAGGCTGGGCTGGCTGGTGACTTTCGCCGCGATGACCTGTAGCTGCACCGTGTCACTTGAGCTGCTCTGGCTACCCCGACGTCGGCGGGGCCCATGTTTCTCCCATCTTCGGCTTCCTGAACGCTCGGGTGGCTTCTCCGGCCAACTCCATGGCACGGTGCTTGCTGCCGTGGGCCTGCTCCGACACTCCATCCACGTCATCATCGTCAACTGCCTGTCGCATGGACTCAAGCAGTCGCTCACGGTGCCGTTCTGCCCAACGTGACGCCTCAGCGTCTGGCCCGAAGTGGGCTGGGGCGCCACCTGGGCGAGAATCGCCAGCGGTAGCTTACGGGGCACTTGCGGGGCCAGCCTCTTTGTCGCGGCGGCCGCTGCGCCCATGGCGCCTGCGGCGGCGACTGGGGGCGGAACGCGCGGCTGCTTACGCTGCTGGCCCCTTTGATGTTCTTGTTGTTGCTGCTGGGCGGGTGCGGTGGTGGCCTGCTCGTCGGCGATGACGCTGGCCAGCTTCGCCGTGAGCTCGGGGGAGCCGGTCTGGCGGGTGTGCTGGAGGAGCTGCGCCGCGGGGTCGCCGCCTCCACTTGCTTCTTGGCTGCGTCCGACTCCACCCGCTGCACCTCCGACGGTGGAGATGGCGCTGGCTGCGTGATCGGCCACCTCCTTATGCTTCGCATTGAGCTTGTCGAGCTCGTCCTCGCAATCGGACAAGTACTCCATTGCGTAGTCGTGCTTGGACTGTACCTTGCTGACCTGCGGCGTGATCTGGTCCAACCCCTTTTGCGATACTCTCGACACAACTGCAGGGTCTCCTGAGCGCAGCGAGCGAATGTAGTGGATCCGCCTTCGCGCTGATTGACCCAAAAATGGCTGCAGCAAGAGGGGCGCCGGCTCATCCATGTGTGCATGTGCCTGCAACTGCTCATCTGACAACTGCACCTGCTGCGCCTGCTGCAGCTCCTTTCTCCAAGGCGCCCGAACGTGTGGCGACGCTTCATTTGCCCACTTCCCGTGAGGCGGTGTGGGCGATTCAATCGCTGCTCGGGCCTCCCTTGGATTTGTTGCAGGGCAAGCACCGACGCCTCCACTCATAACTGACATGACACGCGCACTGCTTGATCGGGCAACGCCACGCTGTCTGCCAGACTGGAATTGGCGATCGCGGCGAGCGGCCCCACTCAGAAAAGGAAGCCGAACGACAACGAATGCTGTGGGAAGACGCAGCGGCTGGTCCTTTTTCCTCCTCCTGCTCCTCGTCCTCCTCCTCCTCCTCCTGCCCTGCTTCAGCCTCTTCGCCCAACAACTCCCCTGGGCGTCGTTTGTGGATGGGCTGGCGGGGATACTTTTTTTGGTCGCGGCCGCGAGACAACGGTCAGGCGGCGAGAGGCAAAGTCCGGGGCATGCGGCACGATGCGAATTTTGCGAGCACCGCCGCCACGTTGGCAAGCCGGTCCGCACCTGCACAACAAGTGCGCAGTTGCACATGCACAGAACAAAATGAATTAACTTCACAAGCGAACGCACAGTGTGAACCGAAGTGGACAAGCGGCAGAGTGTGCGAATGCAGCGGAGTGAGTCGCCGGTACGGCGCCAAACTCCAGGCCACCGGCCCAGCTGGTTGGGAAACTTGGACCAGGGAGGCCGGGCAGAGCGCGGTGGAAAACACGAGGCAACGCGAGCGCGGAAGGCCGAACCACTCAGCGCTCAGTCCTCAGAATCCTCCGCCTAGCCGGGGGGGCCAGCGGCAACCAAAGCGCATCGAGTCCGGCGCCTGCGGCGGATAGGCCCGAGGGTGGACAAGACGATGCGCGGGGGAAACCACAGGCTGTACAGTGGCTGCAACACTCAGAGCAAGGCCCTCCGGAGCACAACTCCCAGTGCCGGTGGAAGCCAGCGACTGCCCAAGCGCCACTGCGCCGTCCTGCCGCGAAGAGGTCCGACGGGATGCAGAACCGCCGACATTTGCTGAGGGTCGGCCCGTGGGGTGGGCTGGCGGGAATACGCGAATCGTCAAGAATTTGGCCCGTTCCGGACGCCTAAAGTCCAACAATCGTTGACATCCCTAAAAGCGCGCGCATCTCTTGCCTCCGCCGCTGCCCGCGGGCCTTCCGCGCGCGGAGAGCCTCCCTCGCTTTGCTTCTGCCGCCCCACACCGAGGAAGTGATGCCAACCCCTCGATGCCACGAACACGAAGTCCTTTCTGGAACGCTTCGAGTGTGGTCGCAGCAGCCTCCCTGTCACGGCTGGGGGTGGCCTCCCTGGCTCTCACCCTCCTCTTCGGCGTCTGGTGTAGACGAAGAAAACACCATAAGCATAAACTTTTGGAGCTTCGCGCGGATTTCTTGGATCCGTGCTGGATCCGCCTCCCTGGCACGCGGAGCGCGCCGGGGGCGGCGCAGGAAGCGCCTCCGGGGGTGTCCAGCACGGATCCAAGAAATCCGCGCGGAGCGCCAAACAATTAGGTTTATGGTTTTTTCTTCTTCGATTGTGGTTTCAGGGGTCACAACTAGGGCCTGTGGCGCCGTTCAGAACGACCCAGGTTGTGCCGGGAGGCAGTCGGCGAAGCGCGGCGGCTGGGCAGCATCGCAAGGCGAGAACCCCCCCCAAGAGCCAGCCCAAACTCCCTCTTAGAGCCCATGAGAACGTCCCCACCTTCGCCTTGGCCCTCACCACTGGCCATCGCTCGGACGTCCATTCCACATGCTTTCTCTGGGCTGTGCGTGCATGTTTTCGCAAGAGGACCCAGAATGCTCCTCGATGGTCCTCGCCGAGAAAAAATGCACACGTCCGAGCGATGCCAAGACCACCCGGCGGCGGAGGAGGAGGAGGAGGAGGAGGAGGAGGAGGAGGAACGCAAGTAACATGTTTTAAACCCCGATGGCATCCCTCAGGCTACGAGGCTGGTAGAGAAATAGCCAGTAGGACGATTCACCATGATGAGAACTAGACGGGTTGTAATTTGTAATGCGCATAGGACATAGTTTGGACGATTACCCTAACTGGGGCGAGGGGGCGGTATAGGAGGAGGAGGAGGAGGAGGAGGAGGAGGAGGAGGAGGAGGAGGAGGAGGAGGAGGAGGAGGAGGAGGAGGAGGGGGATGAGGTGGAGGAGGGGGGGAGGAGGAGGAGGAGGAGGAGGAGGAGGAGGAGGAGGAGGAGGAGGAGGAGAGGAGGAGGAGGAGGAGGAGGAGGGAGGAGGAGGAGGAGGAGGAGGAGGAGGAGGAGGAGGAGGAGGGGGAGGAGGAGGAGGAGGAGGAGGAGGAGGAGGAGGAGGAGGAGGAGGAGGAGGAGGAGGAGGAGGAGGAGGAGGTGGAGGTGGAGGAGGAGGAGGAGGAGGAGGAGGAGGAGGAGGAGGAGGAGGAGGAGGAGGAGGAGGAGGAGGAACCTCGACCCTCTGCCTTCCTGCTCCCTCGCAGCCTGGGCTGCCACCTCCTCTGCCGTGCGCGAGGGGCGCCCCCGACCTCCGGCGCAGGGCCGCCCCTGCGCGTGGCCCGCCGGGGCCGCTCGGCGCCCGCGCGGCCCCGTGGCGCCGCGGGGGCAACAAAAAGACGCCGCGCGAGCGCGTCACGGCGCCACGCCGCGGGAGCGAGGCGCACCGTGCGCGGCGCCGTCCGGCCCCGCGCCCACGCGGGCCGCCTCGGGGGGCCTCCTCGGGGGCCGGCGGCGCGCAGGGCTGGAGGGACGTGCGCGGAACCGCGCGCCCAGACCCCCGTCCAGCGTTCCAAGGTCACGGCGGATGTTTTTGTTGTTGTTGTTGCTGCTGCTGCTGCTGTTGTTGCTGTTGCTGTTGCTGTTGCTGTTGCTGTTGTTGTTGCTGCTGTTGTTGTTGTTGTTGTTGAACATTATTTCTTCTTAAGAATAATTATTGTTGGGGCCCCTGGTGCGCGGCCCCCCCGCCGCGCCTAGGCCGCAGCCTCATTTTCATCATTTTCGTGAGGAAGTCTCAGGCAAAACGTGGGTGTCCGGATCCGGTTGTTTTGTTGTCCCCCGTTTTCCCTTGCAAAAAATAAGCTAAAGTGGACATTTCTTGTTCTAACATAACCAAACTTCAAGAATCCCTTGCAAAAAATAAGGTAAAGTGGACATTCGCGCGCGCAAGACGAAATCCTTCCAAAACCTTAGTTTTCGTAGCGATTTTAACATAAAAACATCAAAAAACCAATGGTTTTTCAAAAAAAATGTCAAAATTTCATCCCGCGCGCTCTTGCGGATTCGTAGGAAACCCAACACTTTTTAAACATTTCTGTCAAACGGGCTTTTGCGAGCAACTTTTTCGAACTTCTGCAACAACGGTTGCGCACCTGCCAGGGCCATCATCCCTGTCAAATAATACCATGCGGGACACATTCGTTTTTTCTTCGCGCGCGCACGCCGTCGTCGTCGGCCGCGGGGCCCTGAATAGTAGCCACGGTCGTCCGCATGCCACGAAGTGAAGTGTCCGAACGTCATAGGGCGGGAAGCTGGGTGTGGGTGGTGGCGAAGAGTCGTTTGGAAATTTGGTAGAGCTTGAACCGGCCCCCCCACAAAGTGGGGGTATTGCCCGCCTCCTATGAAAACCCTGGCACTGGTGAGAACGGAGTGTCCCCACGTGCTAGTAAGTTGTTGTTGTTGTTGTTGTTGAACATTATTAATTCTAAAGAATAATTATTGTTGGGCCCCCTGGTGCGCGCCCCCCCGCCCGCCTAGGCCGCAGCCACGTTTTCATCATTTTCGTGAGGAAGCCTCAGGTAATTCGAGTTGATCAAGATCCGGTTGTTTTGTTGTAATCCGCTTTCCCTTGCAAAAAACACTATAAAATGACATTTCTTGTTCTAATATAATCAAATTTCAAGAATCCCTTGCAAAAAATAAGGTAAAGTGGACATTCGCGCGCGCAAGACGAAATCCTTCCAAAAGCTTAGTGTTCGGAGCGATTTTAACATAAAAACATCAAAAAACCAATGGTTTTTCAACAAAAAAATGTCAAAATCTCATCCCGCGCGCTCTTGCGGATTCGTAGGAAACCCAACACTTTTTAAACATTTCTGTCAAACGGGCTTTTGCGAGCAACTTTTTCGAACTTCTGCGACAACGGTTGCGCACCTGCCAGGGCCATCATCCCTGTCAAATAATACCATGCGGGACAGATTCGTTTTTTTGCGGGACATACACCGCCCCGAATAAGTGACCAAGTTCTGTGGGTGTGTACCCCACGCCAGTGTAGTAGCCACGGTCGTCCGCACGCCACGAAGTGAAGTGTCCCAACGTCATAGGGCGGGAAGCTGGGTTTGGGTGGTCGCGAAGAGTCGTTTGGATATTTGGTAGAGCTTGTAATGCCCCCCCACGAAGTGGGGGTATTGCCTGGTGTCGTATGAAAACCCTGGCACTGGGGAGAACACCACGCGTTCGGGTAAAATGATTGTTGTTGTTGTTGTTGTTGTTGTTGTTGTTGTTGTTGTTGTTGAACTCTCACTCTTGAAGAATAATTATTGTTGATCCCCCCCCACCGGTGCACATTGATTTTTTTCAATTGAAGTGCCACCCCCGGGGCTCGCACCTTGTTTTTTCTCAAGGAAAGTCTTCCTGCTCAAACTGTGCCCCTGCCCCCCGGGCTACAACAACAACGGCTCCCGCCTGAGACTTCCTCGATTTTTACTCAGGACCCCCGCTCCCGCCTGAGACTTCCGCGCAATTTACTCAGGAAAGGCGCTCCCGTCTGAGACTTCCTCGCAATGTAATCAAGACCCCCGCTCCCGCCTGAGACTTCCGTGCAATTTACGTGGGAACGGCGCTCCCGCCTGAGACTTCTTCGAATTTTACTCAGGACCCCCGCTCCTGCCTGACATTTCCGCGCAATTGACTCAGGAACGGCGCTCCCGCCTGAGACTTCCTCGCAATTTAGTGAGGACCCCCGCTCCCGCCTGAGACTTCCGTGCAATTTGCTCAGGAACGGCGCTCCCGCTTGAGACTTCCTCGCAACTTAGTCAGGGCCCCCGCTTCCGCCTGAGATTTCCTCACAATGTACTCAGGACTGCGCTCTCGCGTGCGACGTCCTCACAAATTATTATGGAATTGCGTTTCGGCGCTCAGGAACCACGCGCGCGCCAAGGACGCCTTCACAACGTGGTATCTTCCCTCTTCCTTCGTCCTTCCCCCTCCCCTTCCTCCCACTCTCCCTCGTTCTTCCCCTCCTCCTCTTGCAGGGCCCGCGCCAATTCCAATGGCGGGCAGAGAGATGTACGCCCCCGAAGGATTGTCCGCCCGTTCCGGTTTGCCCGTACGTCTAAGCCCGCCGGCCCCAGCAAAGAGAAATGATCCCCCCGAAAGGGGTGTGATCGAAGACGAAGAGGGCGGGTATCGAGGGTGTAGGGTATACGTGTTGAATGACTCGCGGGCAAGTAAGAGCGTACAGCCTTAAAATGGTTGTTGTTGTGGTTGTTGTTATTGTTATTATTATTATTGTTGTTGTTGTAGTTGAATTCTCATATCTGAAAAATAATGATTGTTGATCCCCCCACTGGTGCATACTGTTTCTTCTTAATCAAAGTGTGCCCCTCGACGCTCGCACCCTGCTTTTTGACAGGGGAAGTCTTCCTGCTCAAACTGGGCCCCTGGCCCCCCGGTTACAACAACATCGGCTCCCGCTTTAGACTTCCTTACAATTTAGCCAGGACCCTCGCTCCCGCCCGAGACTTCCTCGCATTTCATTTAGGAATCGCGCTCTCGCTTGGGACTTCCTTACAATTTGTTCAAGAATCGCTCTTCCGGCGCTCTGGAGTCGCGGTCTCGCTGGAGACTTGCTTGCAACTTACTGAAGAATGGCCCTGCGTTGGAATTTCCTGGAATTTGCCCAAGCGCCGCGCTCCCGACACCCAGGCAACCAGGAGTCGCGCCCGTTGTGGCCCCATGTGCATGCCCTTCGTGGAACCGCTGTCGCCATTTGTGTCCCCCTCACTGTCCTACGTGGCCCAGTTGCTACCCTCAGTGGCCCCATAGTTGCCTTCTGTGGCCCCGGATTATCTGCACTTCATGGCCCCCGCTCGTTCGCGCTCTTCGTGGCCCCATACGCATTCTTTTCGTGTCCCCGCTGTCGCCCTTCGTGGCCTACTTCGTGCCCTTCGTGGCTCTGCTGTCGTTCTCTCTCGCTCTCGCTTTCCCTCGTCGTCGCCGTCGTCGTCGTCGTCGCCGTCGTATTCGACGTCGTCGTCGTCGTCGTCGTCGTCGTCGTCGTCGTCGTCGTGGTCGGTCCCCTGTCCGTCCCTCTTGGGGTCGGGTCGACGGTCCGCGGCCGCCCCGCCGATCAGCGCTGCCGCTGGCCAGGCCGACGGTCCGCGGCCGCCCCGCCGCTTGCCGGGGCCCGGCCTGCAGGGAAGAAAGGTATACCCCCCAAAAGGGGTTCGATCGAAGACGAAGAGGGCGGGTATCGAGGGTTTGGGAAATACGAGTTATTGGACACTCGAGCATATCAGGGCGAACAGTCTTAAATTTACCATTGTTGTTGTTGTTGTTGTTGCTGTTGTTTCTGTTGATGCTGTTGTTGTTGTCGTTTTTTCTTCCCACGCAACAATGGCAATGACTGATTAACAACAGATGACATCCACCAGAGACCACGGTCGCCGGTCGCAGAAAGTATGTCCTGCGAGCGTGGCCGAAACTCGGGGCGGACATCTCGGCCTCTGGGGGCCCTTTTGCTGGGCGCGGGACCGTCCAAAAACGACTCAGGGTGAAACGCTGGTCCCCAGGCAGGGGTCCAGACCTCTGGGGAGCCACGCTGCGACACAAATCACGACGCCGGATATCGGGGCGCCCGGCACCCAAGACGTCCGACGGCGTGATTTCCGGGTCACCTGAACTTCGAGCGTCGCGCCCGGCGGTGGGCGACGCGCAATCATCGTCGCGCCATCGAGCCGTCCCCTCGGAGACGGACGACCGCTCTGGTCCAGAAAGCGACGCGCGCAGCGCGACTACCTTCGCGCCCCTTGGCGTGGCATAGGTTTCAGTCTTAGGCGTCCGTGCATGTGAAGGAAATGAGCGGGATGTAAAAAGAAACGTGCGCCTTTCCAGAACCGTTTGGGCTGCGGTTGCAGTTTCCGGGTCGTGTAGAGCTGGGCCCTTCCTGCAGTCCTCGACCCCCCCATGCTTCTCTTGGCCCTCGCTTCCGGGCGGCCCACATGGCCGGCGTTTTCCCGTGGTTCTGGCTTCTCGAAAACCGCGTCGGGCCAGGACGATCATACACCGATCGGGGATGGAAAAAGTGGTCCCTGGGTTGCGGCCGAGAACGTGACACATATAATCGGGAGGTTCTTCTCCGAGGGGGTAGAGCTCAGAGGCGATTGTTGTGTCGTCCGTAAACTGCCTGGCCGTTTCGCTTGTGACATCCTCAGAATTCGGAAATTCGGACGCAGTCCTCACGCGGATCGCGATGTCAGTGTCCACAAACGATTCAGAGTCCACCAGTTTTGCACCAAGCCTTCAGCAACGCAGTTTGCTTTCAACGGTTTTGTGCATGCTTGTTAGATATGCATTCAGTTTCAATTGTTTCCTGTAGCTCGTCAGCGATTAAGATGGCGAAGGCTTCAAGACGCATTGCGCGTCAGTTATTTTAGGCCAGGGTAGGGTAGGGTAGAATAGGACAGAATAAAGCAGAGCGGACGGCAGCCAGTGAGCCACTCCTCCTCCTCCTCCTCCTCCTCCTCCTCCTCTTCGCCCTTCCCTGTTTCGACGACTCTTCCTCCTGTGCCTATTCCTAGTCCATCCCAACCCAAGGCCAATCCAGTCCAGACCAGTCTAGTCCAGTTCAGGCCAGTCCAGCCCACCCCAGTCCAGCCTTTTCTAGTCCACTCTACTTCCCTGCACTCCAGTCCACTTCATTTCAGTCTTCTGATCTATTTGAAGGAAGTCTGCGCTGGTTGATGCTGCATGAGCCTGGACACGCACGTGTCACTTGCAAACAAAGAGTGGCACCGTTTCGTATGAGAGAAGCTGGTCCTGAAGGAAACGGGTCCTGAACACTGGTCACGTTCAGGGGCCGACATGTCAAACGTTTTTGGCGATCCCTGGGGCCTGGCAGGGGCCCAGGATGCGGAAACAAAGGACAAACCTTTTGGAGCCCTCTCGCTCAGGTCCCATTTTCCTCGAAGCGACCCTCTTATTTACTGGGTTTGGGCTGTTTTTTAACTGCTGGGGCTCGGAAGCTCCCGAGTAGCAGCAGCAGCAGCAGCAGAAGCAACAGCAGCACCATCAGTAGGAGGGGCTGGGATGCAAAGGAGGGTGAAGGGGGGGCCAGGGTGGTGGAGGAAGACGACCGGCTACGCTCCCCCCTGTGATGTTAAAACCCTGAGTCGGATCCTCTGGCTCGCCAGCCCTGCGGGCGATCCAGCGGCCGCACCAAGAGCTGCCGTGGTGGCTGCTGTAGCCTGATGATCAATCCAGGAAGGGAGAATGGCCCGGGGGGATGAAGAGCTGTGGATCGGAGAAAGAGAACTAAAAAGAGATGGAGAGAGGTACTGATAGAGAACGAGAGAGAGAGGGACAGATAGAGAGAGAGCATGATAGACAAAGGAGAGAGAGAGAGAGAGAGGGAGCTATATGTGTGTGTATATATATATACAAAGGGACAAATCCACATACACATTATTCGCCACCGTGACCTTGGGCACGGAGTGGGCGTGCCCTCACGTCCCATACGGAATCCCTCGAACCTCAGTCTTCGATCATGGGGACTCTTTCTAGGGGCCTGGATCCACAAGCTCTCGAATTTTGGCACGTTAACTTTTGCGGAGCGGCGCTCCGCTAAGTGCCCCCGACCTCGAACCAACGAGATCCGATTGCTCGGCCCCAATTGGCGGAGCGCCGCTTCGCTAATTGGCTTCGAACCAGGAGATTCATATTGCCTCGCTCCCATTGGCGGAGCGGCGCTCCGCTTATTGGCCCCGAGCGCCCCGCTTATGAGCTGAGACTGTCACTGAGACTCCCCAATCCCCTGATCGGCCTACATTCTCACGGCATCCCACCAAATATCCAAGACGCCTATGGCCCACAAGCCAGGCACGGTGGCGTGATGGGCCGAAGGCCATTCAATAGATGCATCATACATTTATACGTGTATATGTACACATACACATACATTACACATGTACACATAAACAGCTAGAGGAAGAGCGAGAGCGAGAGATAGAGAGAGAGAGAGCGAAAGAGAGAGGGATATAGATACACATAGGACAACATAACTATCCACATGATTAGACACATAAGGGGGATACATATATATATATATATATATATATATATATACATACAAGACTGCAGTGACGCTTCGCGCCATGCACCTTGCTCCTTGAAGTTTGGAATGCGGGCGGAATGGCAAGACGGTCAAGCCGACAATTTAGCGATAACTCCTGGTTGTTTTTTCCGGCATCGCCGCTATAATGATGTTATTCGTTATCCTTCCTCCATGCTTATTGTTTATCATTTTCACCATACCCTGCGCATTTTCCCCATTCTCCTTAGCTCTTTTTTGCGGAGGCTCCTCCTTGGAGAGCCTCTAGGGGCCTCACAAAAGTTGTTTCGGGCTTTCTTAAAGCCTTCTGGAGGCCTCCTGGGCGTATTCTGGGGGCCTCCGGGGGCTTCCTCGGGCCACCCTGCCTCCAACACCCGTCTCCCTGAACGACCGAATCACGATTTGGAATTCTTCGGAGGGTGTCTTTGGGCCATCTTGGGCCGCCATGGGGCTCGCTGAGGGCCATCTTGGACCCGTGTTGTGCCGTTTTGGAGCTCTCTTGGATTACCTGGAAGCCCTTTCGGATGGTTGTGGGGAGATTTGGGAGCCTCCCAGGCGGCTTCGGACGCCCAGAAGACCGCCGTCTTGGAGCGTCGGGAAGCCGAAAAAAGGAGAACCCCAAAATTCACCAAAAACCAACAGAACATCCATGATTTTTGCCTCGGGGGGCCTTCTTGGGAGTGCTCTTGGAGGCCTCTTTGGGGCCGTCCTGGAGGCCTCTTGGGCCATCTTGAGGTCACGTCGATCACTTTTGGAGCGCTCTTGTGCTGTCTTGGGGGTCTCTGGGACGTCTCCGATGACCCCCTGATCGCCCTAAATGTGCTGGGAAGGCTTGGCAAAACGCCTTGCGAGGCCCAGTGGCCGCTTCGAGGCCCGTCCGGAGGGCCCCAAAGCCCCAGGTCCCGGGAGCCTCAGCCTGCCTCAGCCTCAGCCTCAGCCTGCTTCAGCCTCAGCCTGCATCAGCCTCAGCCTCAGCCTGCTCAGCCGCAGCTTGCCTCAGCCTCAGCCACAGCCTCAGCCTCAGCCTGCCTCAGCTTCAGCCTCAGCCTGCCTCGGCTTGCCTCAGCCTCAGCCTCAGCTTGCCTCGGCCTCAGCCTCAGCCTCAGCCTGCCTCAGCCTCAGCCTCAGCCTCAGCCTGCCTCAGCCTCAGCGTCAGCCTCTCAGCCTCAGCCTGCATCAGCCTCAGCCTCAGCCTGCCTGAGCCTCAGTCTCAGCCTGCCTCAGCCTCAATCTGCCTCAGGAATGGTGTTCCGGGAACACGAAGAACACGAAATGGCCTACAGCTGGCTCCGGGCAGTCAAAATGTGGGAACACGAAGAACACGAAGTGGCCTGCAGTTGGCTCCGGGAATTCAAAATGTGGCCTGGGAATTGTGTTCTGGGAACACGAAGAACACGAAGTGGCCTACAGCTGGCTCCGGGCATTCAAAATGTGGCCTGGGAATGGTGTTCTGGGAACGCGAAGAACACGAAGTGGCCTACAGTTGGCTCCGGGCATTCAAAATGAGGCCTGGGAATGGTGTTCTGGGAACACGAAGAACACGAAGTGGCCTACAGTTGCCTCCAGGTATTCAAAATGTGGCCTGAGGATGGTGTTCTGGGAATGGATTCCTAAGGATTCCTAAGAATTCCCAAGGGTTCCTAAAGATTCCTGGGGCTGCCGGATCCTGCCGGATTCCCTGTCCGGGTCCCGCCAGGACCCCCCTGGGGCGTCAAGATGCTCTCTTTTGACCCCACTAGAAACCTATCAGCAAAAGCTGTTCGGTAATATCGACGGATATATATATATATAGATAAAGAGAGAGAGAGAGAGAGAGAGAGAGAGAGAGAGAGAAACAGAGAAAAAGAGAGAGAGAGATAACGAAACTATAGGCTGCAGCGGAAGGAACGGGGAGGGAAAGGAGGTGAAGAGGGAATTCTCTAAATTCTTCCAGGCGGCCTTTTTTTCCTCTGAGGCCCCCGTAAACTCACAAAGTGAAGCCTTCTCCCTATTTTGTTTCCTCCTCCTCCTGTTCCTCCTCCTGTTGGGTGATGATGCTGGGTGTGATCATGATGGTACTTTTTCATTTGGCTGCCGATTACCATGTCGACAAGGGAACTGACTGGGGAACATCGCTGCTGCAAACATGCGGGCCGCGCGCTCCTCTATGGCGGCGCGTGCAGGCGGGAGGTTCACGCCCGCGTCGTGCGCCACTTAATCACTCGTGGCGCGCCGCAAGCTTGAGAGCGACTGGCATGTGCCGATGTTGACAATAATCCCTACAGCTCGCAAGCCTTCCCTTCCTCCCAGATGTCCTGGGCATCAGCACTTCCCACGACAAGAGGGCTAGCTGCATGCACCTCTTTCTGCTTGCAAAAGCAAACGAAGCAAGCAGGCGCCCCTGCGCTGGGCCCAGCGTGACTGCTCTTGGGCATCTCCTCTGAAGGGGCCCTGGGGCACACAAACAAATAGACACGAGTAACAGGATCCCCCATCTTTCCCCTATCTTTTCTTGTTTTTTTGCCCCCCCCCCCCCCCCGCACTCCCATAGTTTCCAATGTTTTCTGGGGAATCGGCGATTACTTGTGTCCGTGTTTTTTTTTCCCCCTCCTGATCCTCGGCCGTCCAGGCCCCGCGCAGCGGACCACGCTTTCACGTGTGCGCAGGTGCCGCCACAGGCCGCCTCGTGCCTGGCAGGCACCGGGCCATGCCAGTCGTGCTGGGCCAGCTGGCCGCGCTGTGCCACCCCGGGGCCGAAGCGCCGGCTGGCGAGCGTCTGGGCGGCGATCGGTCGCCAGCGGGCCGCCACCGCATCGCTTCGCGGTCCGCCCATGGCGCCAACGCGCTCGCCTGCACGTCGGGGCAAAATGCGCATCGCCCTCGGCGGCTGTGGGTGGCGGCTCAGGGGCCGCCCGGCAGGCCGGGCCACCCGGCTACTCGGGCGGCGTTTTTTTTTTTTTTTTTTTTTTTTTTTTTTTTTTTTTTTTTTTTTTTTTTTTTTTTTTTTTTTTTTTTTTTTTTTTTTTTTTTTTTTTTTTTTTTTTTTTTTTTTTTTTTTTTTTTTTTTTTTGTTTTTTTTTTGTTTGGTGACAGGCAGACAACAAGCGAAACGCGCAGCCGTGTACGGCCAGCTGGGCACTGGTAAACCCAGGGCCTTCGGGAACTGGCTGGCCATCGCTCGGACGTCCATTCCCCGTGCTTTTTTCGGTTTCGTGCGTGGATTTTTTCGCCAGATGATCCAGGATGCTCCTCTATGGTCCTCGCCGAAGGAAGAATGCACACGTCCGAGCGATGCCAAGCTGGGCGAAGGGGCGCTGCGCCGCGAGGCGCGCGGAATCGGCCCCGCACTCGGGCGGCGCTGTGCACTCTGGCGCGGGCCATCTCCCGCGCGGGCGCCGCGGAAGACCTCCGCGCGCGAGGCGCCCGCAGGCGCGGGCGCCCCGTCGCTGGAGGACCGGGGCGCCGCGAGAGGCCTTGGCGATCATGCTGCGACCGGCCCGGAGGGTCAAAGAATCCAGGCCGCGCCCACAGCCATGACGATCAAACTCCGAGCCCACGCGCGACGCTCTCCAGGCTCGGGGCCCCGCCCGCACGCAGGGCGCAGGGCGGCGGCACGCAGACAGAGAAGCAGCGGCACGGAGTCAAACCTTCGGAGGCCCGCGCGAAGGTCCCGGAAAGATATGTTCATGCCCCTCTCAGGGGGCGTGATGGCGGGGCAGGGGCAGAGGCGGGGTTGGAGGAAAGTCGCTCTAGACGGCCCCTGGAAGAAGGAAATCTCGGCTTCCAGCTGGGCTCGCTCCCTCGGCCCGACTGCACGTTTGGGCGACCCCCTCCTCTGCGGACCCTCGACCTTCTCTAGAAGAAGGGGAAGAAGGATAATCAGACAAACAACACAACTGCATATACATACATTTCGGAGGTTCGTGTGGTTTCTTAGGATCGGTGGTGGAGCCTTCCCTGGCGCGCGGATAGCGTCAGGGGCGGCGGCGCCAGATGCACCGCCGAGGGGGCCCAACGCTGATCCAAGACATCCGCGCGGATCTCCGAACATTCATGTTTAGGTTTTTTCTTGTTCGATGCAATCTTCTTCGAACTCTGCCTGGGGCTGCGCCCCGGGCGCTCTGCGAATCGGTCGGCAGCCGCTCGGCCAGCGGCACTGGGGCCAGCTCGGCAGGGCTGGGGCTGCTCTGCCGCGCCGTCGGGCGGCTGCTCAATGATGCTGATAATGACGATGATGACGTAATGGTAATGACACTGGGGATGATGCTGCTGCATGCGATGATGATACGGAGGATGCTGATCAGTATAATGCTGATCGCGCATCCCCGATGCTGATGGTGATGGCGATTGTCGTGCTGGTGGTGACGATGATGATGATGCTGGGGAAGAGGAAGAGGAGAAGGAGGAGGAGGAGTTGGAGGACGAGGATCAGTATGATAATGCTGTTGATGATGGTGGTGGCGCGGATGACGATGACGATGATGATGCAGACACAATGGCAGTGATATGGATGAAGAGGAGCACGAAGCTGGTTATGAACATGAAGCTGATGAACAGGAGTTTGCTGATGGGGATGCTGGGCATTATGAGGATGATGGTGCTGCGTACATTGCGGATGCTGGCGAGCGGTCGGTCCGCCGCCCGCCGAGCGCCCGCGCGCGGAACGCGCTCGCCCGCCCGCGCCCGTTGTGGCGCAGCTGCCCCGCCTCGCGGGCTAGCCGTCGCCTCCTCCTCAGGGCTCCTCCGGAAGCCGCCGACGCGCCTCGCGCCGGGCCCCGCACTCGTGGGCCCTCCTCGCCCCTCCTCGCCCCTCCTCCTCCTCCTCCTCCTCCTCCTCCTCCTCAGCCTCTTTGGAGGCTGGCGTCCTCCAGGGCGACCTGCCCCGCCTCGCTGCCTCCTCGCGTGGAGGCGGCCTCGAAGCCCCCCCGCGCCACCGCGCTGAGCCTGGCTGCCTGCTCGCAAGCGCAGGCCCTCCTCCCCTCGGGCGACGCGCCCCTCCCCCTCTTCCTTGGCCTGGGGTCCTGACCCAGGCGCCTCCTCGAGGCCTGCTCGGCCTCCCTCCTCTCGCCTGCCTCGCGAGCCTTCAGCGCCGTGGCCTCCGCCTTGGCACCTAGAGCTCCAGCAGCTCATCATCGGTGGCCCCGCAGGCGCTGACCGCGTCCGCGAGCGGGAGAAGCCGCACTTCCTTGCCGCATCGCAGCGCTCTTCTTTGCTCCTCGAGCTGCTCTGTGGCAGGCACCGCCTGTGCGACCCCTGCTCCGAGCCCCCGCCGAGCTCCAGCCCGAAGCTGCGCCTCTCCTCCCTTCTGGAGGGCAGCGGGTGGAACCCTTTCGCCATCCCCCCGATCTGCTCCTTGGGGCCATGCGCGCCCCCTGCAGCTGCCAGCCAGCAGCCCCTGCCTCCTCGCTGGCGCGGCGAGGTGGCCTCTCGCCCCCGCCGGCCGCGAACCTTCGGCAGACCACTCCCTGCTCGCCGCCGTCGGCCTTTGTAGTCCCCGAGGCGGTGCCCTCGCCGCTCCACTGGGCCTCCTCCTGGTCGCGCCTCAGCTTCCTCCTCAGGCTTCGCTTCCTGACTCGGAGGCTTCGCCTCCTCCAAGCGTGCCTCTTCCTCCTTTTCCATGAACTCCAGCAATTCCTGCGGTGTTCCCCGAAATCCACCACCCTCTCCTGTGGGATGCCATCCGCGTCCTGCTGGCCGTCCTGCCTCGTCGCCGTCGACTGGGCTACCCAGCGCGCCACTGCCTTGGCCAGGAAGTGCGCTCCTCTGGCCTCTCGTCCTCTCTCCTCTCGCCGTGGCCAGAGCTTAGCCCCTTTCTTCGTGTAGGTGT